TCAGATACTCATTCTTAAGAAATGTCCTCTTATTCTAAGTAGTGTCTGCAGAAAGATGTGAAGTCACAGTCACAAAATCACAGACAAAATGGTAAGGAAAGTGAGCAATCAACTAAAAAAAACATGGAAAAATGAAAAACATTACTAATTTAAGGAAGTCTCTGGAACAGACTAAACAAAATATTGCTCATAGCTACTGACCAAATGATGATCTGAAAATTCCATCTCAAAGTAAGTCTCTTCCAACATAGAGCAAAAAGGACAGTGATGGGACATGACAAGTGGTGGTTCCCAGCCACACCTGTACCCTAACACTCAGCCCAGCCCCTGGGGATGGGGTCCAGGCATCAAGAGCATCTTAAAAGTTATACAGGTGGCCTGGTGTTTGTGGCACATGCCTTTAATCCCAGCACTCGGGAGGCAGAGGCAGGCGGATCTCTGTGAGTTCGAGGCCAGCCTGGTCTACAAGAGCTGGTTCCAGGACATCCTCCAAAGCCACAGAGTAACCCTGTCTCACCCCCCCCCAAAGAAAGAGTTCGTTGGTGATCCTAAGGTTGACAGTGTTAGCAACATTAGTAAGAAGCCAGAAGGATAAGACCGAAAGGTCTGGCATCTCTTCAACAAGACTTAGAAGCAGAGGATGAAGATGATGAGAGTCAGCAAGTTGAACTATATAGTCAGTCTCCTGTGAGGGTGGGAGACCTGCAGGGGCTGCTGAGAGAAGGGGCAGCTGGGTACCACTCTGCTCACCGGGGCTTCAGGCAGCTTGGAAACCCTCGCTCTGGTTTTCAGGGCTGTTTACGAGGAGGCCAGTTCTCACCTACTTTTTTCCATCTGTCTGCCGACTTTCCTGTCATACTTGGGGTGATCTGGTTAGTCACTGTGGCACGGGCCATGGGGAGAACGTGAAGTAGCTTCTCATTTGGGAGGTCCAGCCATCGGCTTAGTCAACACAAGTTCCCAGTCCCCTGGTGGTCAAATACTGGTTGTCTGCTCATGGTCACATTGCACCTCAGGTGTGTGCTGACTAGCACTTTGGAGAGCGGGTGCTTATCTGGCATGGCCACAGCAGAAGGAACTGTGTGCTCCCTTTCTGGTGCACTGGGAAGCAACTTGCCCCTTTAGTTGGTGCAGTACAATAAGCTTTATCATGAATTAATAATAGCATTAGGTAAGAGTGACTTTAAATCCAGAATAGAACTAGCATGGGGGAAAGAACACAAGACTCCAGTAAAAAAACATTGAAACTTCTCCTGTTGCCTTAAAGGGCTTTAAGAATTGTCCTGACTTTTTTATGTAGTACAATAAATTAAAAAGTTTATTTGATGTGTTTACTTACAAAAACATACACTTCTAGTGGCCTAAATGGAATTCAAGGGAAATATTTGGAAAATTTGATTTATTTTTTTATTCTTTAAGATTCATTTGACTTTGAAATCTGAAAAAGGATTTGTTTTCTTGCTCTGAGGATTCCTGTTATTCTCTTCATATGGACTGTGCGGCGCCCGTGCCACAAGCAACTCCGAGGTATTAGGGAAAGAAAGACCAGACGTCCACTTATTTGTACTAAGAGAATGCATGTGCTGCCTTTATTGCCGAGAGAGAGAGAGAGAGAGAGAGAGAGAGAGAGAGAGAGAGAGAGAGAGAGAGAGAGAGAGAGAGAGAGAAAGTCTTCATTGCAAGTGCCAAGAGGTCTCTCTCTTGTAGGAGGGAGGAACTTTATATACAGGTTTACAGCACAGTGGAAAAACCCCAGGTAGAAGAGAGCGTGTTTTCCTCCTGCTGAATGTTGATGTCAGAGGGTCAAGGCCAGGGCAGTAAGCCAGGACTAGAAAACAGGATGGATTTGTACCCTATGGGGGCTGGGGCCCAACATCTCCCCCCTTCTTTATATATAAATTAGCACCTATCTCAGGTGACTAGGACAGTAATGCCAGTCTTAGTATCAATAACCAACCCTGTATAAATGTAAACAAACATTTATAAACAATATTTGGGAATGTGGGCATCGTTCTTTTCAAACTACTTCCTGCTGTTAAGGGGTGCTGAAATACCATGGGGATCATGACAAAAGAAAAAACCCAGAAACCTGTTGAAGTTCTTGTTTTTGTGGTCTGTAAGGCTGCATCATCTCAGCTGTTTTAGATGTTGGATCACAGACTGAGCAATACTGTTAGGAGCTGTTCCCTGAGATTTGCATTCCCTTAAATGTTGAGTAAGTTCCTTTGTCAGGTTGGCACTTACAGAGCCAACAACTTGGCTTGTGGGGATTTGATGCTTATTTGAATAGCAAGCTAAGTTTTTCTTTCCTTCATCTTTTATTTTTAACTTAATTATTTCTCTTTTGAGAATGTCATATATGAATACTGTATTGACACCATTTCTCCTGTAATTCCTTCCATGCCCCCTTCTCAAATCTGTGCCCTTACTCTTTAATTGTTATTGCTACATGTGTGTATACGTTTATAAACACAACCTGCTAAGGTCATATGGTTTTTGAGAGTGTCTCATGTATCTGAGGCTAGTGCTTATTAACCCCTGGATCCTCCTGACTCCACCTCCCAAGTGCTGGTATTTCAGGAGAGTATGCTGCCACCACCAGCATGCACCTGGCTGGAGAAAACATTTTCTCTCTTTTTTATTAATTAGTTTTATGTGTGTAGGTGTTATTTCCATGTATGCATGAGTCCCAGCTGCATACAGAGCCTATAGAGGCCAGAAGAGGGTGTCAGATCTCCTGGAACTGAGTTATAGATGGTTGTGAGCCACCATGTAGGTGCCAGGAGGTGAAATTCAGTCTTAGGTGCTCTCAACCACAGAGCTGTGTCTCCAGCCTTCCAGCTAATTTTTTTTTCAAGACAGGGTTTTCCTGTGTAGCTTTGTAGACCAGGTTGGGCTTGAACTCACAGAAGGCTGCCTGCCTCTGCCTCCAGAGTGCTAGGATTAAAGGTGTGTGCCACCCGCCAGGCCAGTTAAATATTTTAAAGAAATTGTTTATAAGTAATGTATACCTCCCCTTACATCACCGTGAGGTTGTTTGTCTGATTGTTGCTGCTGCAGGGTTTGGTTGTGACACGTGTCCTTTCTCCTTTCCTTGCCAGGTAGGTAGTCGGGGGTGGTGCTGGAGACCATTTTCTCAACAAATTTTCAATAAGGGGTTGTGATTTCTTCAGTGCTTTGATCATGTGTTCTGTTGATAGAGGTCCGTGTATCTGGGAGAACCTACAAAACATACTTCCCATGGATACAGTTCATGACCTGCTCCCTCCAAGTAACTTAAAAGGCCATTTCTGTCTGCCATTTAGGTGCTTCCCACAAGTTCCCAAGCGTCAGAAAATATGTCACAAGCATTGGGTTTCCAGAAGCTTGTTTGATTTTCCTTATTATCTAGTCCAGCATCATGTAGACTGGGTACTTAGCTTTCGTTGTTTGTTTGAGAACAGTTTGTTCTAGCCTTTCACTTACCCTGAGCCAAACATTTGGACCTTTTATTCTGGTATAAACTGTGCTAGGAAATCAAGAACGGGGGCTTTGCCCTGGGATTTTGGTGTTCCCTTTGAAGCTCTTTCAGTACAGCAAGTTTCTCACACTGAAGAAAACCTAACTAGCTTGTTTGGAAATGAGTTAAAACACTATATTTTAGTTGTCTAGTCATTAGTTCTAACAGCAGAGTGGGTTTTCACAGTATAGAAGTTGTTTAGTTTGGTTTTGACTGTAATGTGAAATAGCTTTAGAAGTGGTCAGTCCTCAGCACTCGGAGGCAGAGGCAGGTAGATCTCCAGGAGTTCTAGACAGCCAAGGTTGTTAACACAGAGAAACCCTGTCTCAGGGAAGGGAGAAGGAAGAAAAAGGGAATTAAGTATTAAAAAATACATAATATACCACTGAATTCAGATCTTATGAAAGCAGACTTTTTATTCTAACCACACTGCTCTGGATAAAGGTTGAGAGTAGCTGAGGTAGGAGAGGAGGGAAACCCTCGGAGTTGTGGTCTATATTACCTGCTAGAGAGTGTGGGTATGAACAGTGCCCGTGATCTCACAGACCCTTGAAATCCACAGGAATGCCTCATAAACAGCAGCATTCAGTCGAGGGGAGCTGAGGGACAGTACAGAATGGACAAGATGACTTGAGCACACACACTGGCGTGGCATGTGGGGGAAGAAAAAAGAGCTGTCACAGTGTGGATGGGGAAGCCCTGGGCTGGGTATAGGAAAGGACTTGGTTTATTGACCTGCATTTTGTATGAAGAGAATAGGAACTGAAAGACAGATTAGCGACATATTGTGAGAGATACCTTGAGTGCTGTGGGAAAGTGAACTTTGTTCTCTCCATTTTTTGTGTGTGGGGAATGATTTTGTTTTGGTTTTCTTTTTCTTTTTCTTCTTGAGATGGTGTCTCATTCCCCAGGCTAACCCGGAACTCATAAATACAGACTGATCTTGGCTTTGCAACTCTCCTGCCTCTCCCTCCTGAATACTGGGATTATAAGCACAAGCCACCCACCACACACACCCAGCCCCTAAAACCTCAGTCTGTAGCTGTTGGAAGTGAGTGGTGGGCAGTGTAGTCTCCCAGAAGGCCCAGAGGTGACAAGTGCTTGCCATCTTGAGCTATGGCTCTCCACTGTTTCTTGGCTGACTGGTAGCTCCCTGTTTTTAGCAGAGCACCTGGAAAGCTCTTAGTTCTCTCCAGGGAACGTGGCTGTAGAAAGGTCCTTGAACATTCTGAGAGGGCAGTATAGTTACGGAATGTAATCCCCAGCAGACCCCACTTGCACTTCCACCCTCTAATCTAGGACCAGGGCTACATGGGAATTGAAGAACTGGGTGATGTTTTATTTTCCTGTCCGATGACATCAATACATGAGCACAGCAAATGCTTTTGTTATTATTTCGGTGTTTTAACTCTATTAGTCTTATGTAAGCTCAGTTCTCAGGGGTTTTTCGGTGCATTAAGAAATGATATTTTCACTGAAGAAAATACCTTTCTTTTGGCAGGTTTTCTACTTATAAAAGACAATGACTACTGATGAAGGCACCAGTAACAATGGAGAAAACCAGTCAGCCACCGTGGTTGAACAGGGAGAAGATATCACCACCAAAAAAGATAGAGGAGTATTAAAGGTAAGGCCACAGAGGCAGAAGATAGGGAGACCTTCTGATGGAAGGAAGGTGGAGTTTATCCAGCCTTTTTCGTAGAGGGGAAGGGTGGCTGCTATTTTTTAAAGTAAGGCTAAGTAGTGAACGCTGCAGCTCAGTTCTCATCTGTCTTCATAATGGGGGCTGTTAATCTCAGATTGTCCATGCAGCTGAGACTGGACTGGGTAAAGTGACCCGCCCTGGTCACTCACATCTTAGGCCCTGCAGAACAGCCCGGGTTATCCTTCATTCCACAAGACTGCAGAGTGCTTGTTGGGTTGCTCGCAGTAGACTCTTCAGTGCACTGACGCTCACGGTGACTGCTAAAGAAACACTGTACTGTCTCTGTGTGCCATGATGTAGGAGCACAGGCCGTGTGTGCTTGGCTCATCCTTCCTATGTACTTAAGCACACAAAATACTTTGTGTGTGTGTGTGTGTCTGCTTGCCCTTGGTCAGGGTATCTTCCTCACTCACTTCTCCGCCTTACTTTTCTGTGAGACAGGGTCTTTCATTAAACCTGGGGCCACTATTATTTAGGTAAGGCTGTGTAGCCACCAAGTCTGTGGGATTCACTTGTCCCTGGCCCCCAGCACTGGGGGTTGCAGACACACTTTGTCACGATTAGTATTTACACAGACCCTGGGAATCGGAGCCCGGGTTCTCCTCTTGCTCTGCATGCACTGTGTCCCTTGAGTCGTCTCCTCAGCCTCTTCCCATAGTGTCTTTATTTGCATCCCTGCAACAGTGTTATGGAGATAGTACCCTTTTAATGATGCTGGCACTGGGGATGGTACTGAGGGCCTCTTATGTGTTGTAGACAAGAGTGTCACCAGTGTTGTCTTTTTGAGACAAGGTCTCACTAAGTTGCGTAGGCTAGTCTTGAACTCAACACTGTAACCCAGGCTGGTCTTGAACCTGCCATCGTGCTGCCTTAGTCTTCTCCTAAGTAGTTGGGATTACAGGACTGTGCCGCCAAGTAGACTGAATTCTTCCGTTTTATAGGTGAATAAGCTGAAGCCAAGAGGTTAAGTAGTTGCTTGTCCCACACTGTCGCCACACGTTTTATGTAGTTGATTTTTCTCTGCTGATCTTACATTGCATATTCTCAGTGTCCCTGCCTTGTGGGAATTCAGCTGCTCCTGTGTGGGCACTGCTGGGTTGGTCCTGCCTCTCCCTGCTTGTGTGGAAGCCTGACTTCTGGGCTGCTTTTTCTGAGCTTCCATGGAGTCCTGTTGCCTTGCTCTGTGCTGTCAGTCCATGATGTCTTCTTCCTGAGGCTTCTCAGCCTCGGAACTCTTAATTAATCATCCAAAGCTCTAAGAAACTTCTCAAGACACTGGAGAGTTGTCAGTGTGCCACATTCAGAGACCTGGCCTGCAAGGTCCCTCAGATCCTGCGTATTCTGTAACGAGATCCTGGGTGATTCATAAAAGAGACGTTTATTTTGGATCACAGGTCTGTAGCCTGAGAAGTCCAAGAACACGGCTCGCCTGCATCTCCTTGCTCTTAGCAACACTGAGCTCACAGTAGAAGCAGAGGGGTAGGCAGTCTGGGAGGCAACAACGCAGAGCGGGCAAGCTTTTTACACCTCGTGTGATGAACCCAGTCTCTCCACAGAGAGCTCACACAAGTAAGGCATTGATTCCTCCTAACTGCCCACTTTCCTCTTGAAGGCCTTACGTCCCAACACTGGCCCAGTAGCAATCAGATTTCAGCGTAAGCTTTAGAGAGGACAGATCTATGCGTACTTTCTTCAGACCACAGCTTCCCCACTGGGATTGCACATTGCTGCCTTGCCCACTCAGAGCCCCTAAATAAACAGACAGTAAACTATAGTGTCCTTTGTTATAAAGACTAAATCTAAAAACAATGAGTATAACATCTGTTAACTGTCTAGATCCTCCAGGTCACCATGAGGCTTTGGGTGACGATTCAGTGGGTCTGGCAACTGACCTGGAACATTTGTCAACCTCCCCAGGGTGTTTCTGGTTTTTAAAATTCATGATAATACTAATCAGGAAAAAGAAAAGCTGGGTTTGTATTTTATCTTTAAGACAACTTAAGATTTAAGCAAAAGTTTCATCTTGTTGATGAGACAGACACACAGGAACATGAAACACACACAGCCCACCCCCACTCCAGAGCTATGTCTGTTTCCATTGCAGATGGCCAACTGACTGCCACAACCCCGTCCCACATGCCTGGTGTCATCGATTGTCCTAAAGTACAAATCCCACTGAGGACTGCCACTGGGCCCTAGTGTCACATGCAGGTTAGGGATCAGGGCCCCTTGAGGATTTCATGTAGGTTTTTTTTTTTTTAGGTTTTCTTTTAAATTTTTTTTTCTTTTAGACCTGGAAGAAGCCATGTGGTAGTGGGCATACATTAGCTCAGCACTCGGGAGGCAGAGGCAGGGGGATCTCTGTGAGTTCAGGCCAGCCTTGACTCAGAGCGTGTGCCAGGGCAGCCAGGGCAACATAGAGAAACCCTGCCCCCAAAAACCAAAGAAAGAGAGAGAAAAGACCTGGAAGAACAGTATTGCTTTTTTTCCTTTACAAAATGTTTGGGCCTACCAGGCAGTATTGATGCACACTTGTAATCCCAGCACTCAGGAGACATAGACAGGCAAATCTCTGAGTTTGAAGACAGCGTGGTCTACAGAGTGACTTCCAGACAGCCAGGGCTACACAGAAAAACTGTCTCAAAAAAAAATTGGGGGCATTTGAACCAAGAAAGTTGAGGAATCTAAGTTCATGGTGTTTATGTAGTGGTTTTGGGAGGTGGGCTGCAGAGGCACATCTCCAAGAATGAAAAGCAAGTAATTATTCACGTGAAAATCCATCTCTCCCCAAAGATGTTATCAGATATTAACTGCTATCTTAGGTACTGCTGCAAAAGACCCCTTGGCACTGGTGATTGACAGGCTAAATTGCACCACCACATGCCTGGACTGAGTTTTCTTTTCCAAGAGTTAACCAACTGCATTAGCAGTTTGCTCTGCCAAGAATAAAAGAAATATTCTGGACTTTACAATGGCTAAATATTTCTCACTTTGGAGTTATTCTTTTTTTTCCCCCTTTGCTAGAAAGCAAGTTACTTGGTAGCATCCAAGTCTAGATTTTACAGTTTATTCAAATAATGGAAGTGTAACCTGTTACTCATGGCTAGTGGCGGAGTAGAGTCATAAGGTATCTCTAGCAAAGGAGGGAAGCAAATAAGCCACGTCTTTGAAGCTCTTCTGTGGCCATCTATGTGGCTGTTTAAGATGTCCTTCACTCTTTGGCCTAATTCAGTTTGTGTACTTTCAGCCGGCTCATACGTCTGTGTTTTGGGAGATTTTAGTACCTAAGTATGGGGCATTAAACCACCCAGCTGAGCTTTACTGGTTAATTCTGTTTTGTTTTGTCTGAGATAGGGTTTCACAGTACATCCTAGCTGGCCCAGGGCTTACCAAGTAGACCAGGCTGACTCCTGCATAATTATTTTGAGAGAATGTTGCAGTGAGTAGTAATAGTAACTGTTAACATGAAGGGCTAGGAAAGAGTTTCCTGAGACAGCAATGAAGGAAGTGGCGAGGAACTGGAATGAATTTGCAAATCTGTCTGGGTGCCGTGGAGTAGCCTGTGTGGCCCTTTAATTCTTTTATAAGTAAAAAGCTCTGTTTCTTCCCCCCCCTTATGTTTGTCTTTTCTAGATTGTCAAAAGAGTGGGGACTAGTGATGAAACCCCGATGATTGGTGACAAAGTTTATGTCCACTACAAAGGAAAATTGTCAAATGGAAAGAAGTTCGATTCCAGTCGCGATAGAAATGAGCCATTTGTCTTTAGCCTTGGCAAAGGTAAGAGGTAACTTTTGCAGTATTGCTTAGATTCTTTTGTAATTGTATTCTGTAGAGGCGGTGGAACCTGTCCCTGACAAGGTGTGGCCCACAGTTTCCCTAGGAGTCTCCGAGATCCCTTTGGGAACCATGATAGCAGTTCTTTTTACAACAGTGGGAAGAGGATGTCCTTATAACTGACTGACATTTGCAGTGACAGACTAACACCTGTAGAGGCGCAAACTGCTGGTCCCTTAATGTGAGTTGGGGCAGAGACGGATGCCCTCTCTGCCAGCAGTTTCTGTATTATCACTGCCTCTCCCTGACTGTTTACACAAAGCGGGATGTCTGCTTTCACCCCAGGGCTTGATAAGTCAGCACATTATTTATTACATTTTCTAACCCTCGTCTTGAGATTCACGTGGTGCTGCTGCTGTGTGGGAGAGCAGCCCTGGGCAGAGCCCTGTGTGCACCCTCACCTTCGGGGAGCTGCTATACTTGGAGTCGGGAACTGACATGCTTAGTGTTTTCATGAGCACCATTTGACTGGAAAGGGCAGACCATGATTACTCAGACTTGGTGGGTATTTCCTGAAATTGGATGAAGTAAACCTGCCACCTTGAGGAAGATGGCTGGCAGTGTTTGTTGCCATTGCATTTTCAGGTAAAACTTTTTAAAGATTTGTGTCTGCTGTGTGCTTACAGCTTCCTGAAACGTAAGGCTTCATTCTGTGAGAGCAGTAGGCATTAATGAGTGTGACTTTTCTGCTGGACAGTAAAATGTGTCCCTATTAGAATATCCTCCTAGCCGGGCGTTGGTGGCGCACGCCTTTAATCCCAGCACTTGAGAGGCAGAGGCAGGTGGATCTCTGTGAGTTCGAGGCCAGCCTGGCCTACAAAGTGAGTTCCAGGACAGCCTCCAAAGCCACAGAGAAACCCTGTCTCAAAAAAACCAAAAAAAAAAAAAAATATATCCTCCTAACTCAGCCAGACACATATAAAGTCAGGTGTGGATAAGCAATCTGTTTAAAGTACAAGCTGGACCAGTGGTTCTGGCTCAGCACAGTATATGAGAAGACCTTTGATGAGCTTTCAGATTCCACATAGCGGCTGACCCTTTGACCCTCTTGTTCACCTCTGACATAGTAACCTGAGAGTTCTGTGACACCACTGTCCTGCCGTCCCTAGCTCTGTGGGTTTGCACTTTTTCTACATCTTCAGTCAGAAGTAAACAGATGGATTCACCTTGGCTTATATTAAATGGAACACATTTCACTTTTATGTCATTAGAAATGACAACTCAGGACTGGGCTGCTGTTGTTCAGTGGTTAGAGTGCTCTCATAGAGCCCGAGTATGATCCTTCGATTTAGTGGTACAGGCCTGTAATCCTAGCACTTGGGAGATTGGAGGCAGGAGCGTCAGAAGCATAGAACAAAGAAGAAACACAGCCAACCGGCTGTTGGTGGCACAGGCCTTTAATCCCAGCACTCCCGAGGCAGAGGCAGGTGGATCTCTGTGAGTTCAAGGTCAGCCTGGTCTACAAAGCGAGTTCCAGGACAGCCTCCAAAACAATACAGAGAAACCCTGTTTCGAAAAACCAAAAAAAAAAAAAAAAAAAAGACAGACAAGCCAGGCATAGTGGTGACACTCATCCTAGTGGTTGGGAGGTATCTTAGTTGCAGTTTCTATTATAATAAACACCATGACCAAAAGCAGGTTGGGGAGGAAAGGGTTTATTTGGGTTACACTTCCACATCGTAGATCATCTCCAAAGGGAGTCAGGGCAGGAACTGGTGCAAAGGCCATGGAGGGTGCTGCTTACTGACTTGCTTCCCATGCCATGCTCACCCTGCTTTCTTATAGAACCCAGGACCAGGAACCCAGAGTTGGCTCCTCCCTCCCACAATGGGCTGGGTCCTCCCACATCAATTGCTAACTTGAGAAGATGCCCCACAGACCTCCCTATGGCCCGATCTTAAGGAGGCATTAAGTTCCCTCCTCTTAGATGACTCTAGCTTGGATCAAGTTAATATCAAACCAGCCAGCACAGGAGGCATGGTAGGACTGTAAGTTCAAGACTGAGTTGGACTTCACAACAATCCCTTCTCAGAAAAAGAGAAAAAAATAGCTGGGCTATTTAGATTTTATATTAACACTTTGTAACAGTAGTTACTTCATCAAAATAAAAAATAATGCAAATACACAGTAGTATAAATACTGTCTCTTGAGCCCACTAATCCCTTCTAGTATACCTCTCCCAAGGGAATGCATAGAACTATTCCAAAAAGAAAAGTTCCATGCTAATTTTGGGATTCTAGTTTTGACTTCAGTGTTTCATTTTGAGACCTGTATTCTCTGTGTAGTCCTGTCTGTCCTGGAATTCGCTATATAGACCAGGTTGGCCTCTTGAACTCATAGAGATCCAACTGCCCTTTCCTCTCTGAGTTCTGGGATTAAAGGCATGGGCCCCCACACCCAGCTGAATGTTAGCATTTAAATAGAACTATTATGAGCCTGACTGTAAAACTTCATTGAAAAACTGTCCATAAAGCACAGTGCTGTACTTCCACACTGCTCAAGTGCCCGTTGCCTTTTCTGTACTGTGTTTTAGACTCAGATGCTCTTACTCCTGTGATGTCTTTCATTGTCTTCACTGAAAATAACTGCTTTTACTATAGATTATTGCATGATGTAGAGATGAAAAGAATGCATACCATAGCATAGATCTGCCTAACACGGTGCACACCTGGTTGTTTATTATTGTTATTACATCAAAAGTTTATTGGCTGGCTTTAAAGTTTTTACTGCAGTTACAATAAAAACTATTGTAATGGTTTATGTCATAGTTCTCCTTGCCGTGGAGGCACATGCTCTTCTGAAACTAAGCTTAGCCGGGTTCTTTGTCTCAGGAAGTTGGGACAGACAAACTGAATCAGTCTATGAATTGGTTGTTACCACTGTGGAGTGTGTTACAGGATAGGAGGGAGAGATATTTCCCTTGTGGCTTTATTGCTATTTTTGTTTAGGGTGGTGTTGATCAAAATTCATTCTTTCTCAGACACATTCTTCCTTGATTGTAAAGTACTAAGTAGAATAAAGCAAGTACTTTCTTAAAGTTTCTTGTCTATCCATGTCACATTTTAGGGTTAGAAAAAATGTCCAGCTTTCTCAACATTGTTATGATTTAGAAGACTTTCTTTTTTTAAACAGTGTCTTGTCTTCCTTGTTAAAAATCACTAAGTATACAACTTTTAAATACATCCTTTCATTTAAAATAGGAGTTTATTTAGAATCTGTTACATGAAAGTGTTGTTGTTTGTGTATGAGGAGCCGGAAGTACAAAGAGGTTGTGTGTGTTGTTCACTGTCAGCACAATGACTCAACCATGACTCAAGCCCTGGTTGGTGTCTCTGAAGTTTCCTCAGACCTTAGGTGAGAAATAGCCCAGTCCCGGGTTAAGAAGGGCCCACACCATGTGCTGTGGGCCTGCTCCACACCAGCTGCTTTTCTCCTGGGAATGATGTAGTTTGTAGGGTTTATAAGAAGCAGAATGCAGCTAGGCGTTGGTGGCACACGCCTTTAATCCCAGCACTCGGGAGGCAGAGGCAGGCAGATCTCTGCGAGTTCGAGACCAGCCTGGTCTACGGAGCGAGTTCCAGGACAGCCTCCAAAGCCACAGAGAAACCCTGTCTAAAGAAAACAAAAAACAAAACAAAACAAACAAAGCAGAGTGCATGTGCTTGCTTGATGATACTGGGAAGTTAATGTGTACTTTAAAAGAAGTATTGAAGTTTATCTCATGAAGCGATGCCTGAAAGACATTTGCACCAGTCAGATACACTTTCTAGAAAGACTGGGTGTGACGGAGCAAGAACTGTTTGTGGTGTAGCCCTGTGCTCCTGTAGTTCCCACTGATGCTCTTACTCCTGTGTAATACCTCGTGTGTTTACTTTTACCTGCAGTTCAGGAGTGCACTAGTTATGTAAGGAAAGCTAATGGGCTAAGATAGCTCACTCTCCCTCTGAGATGTCATACAACTTTCATTCTCAGATTTTAATATGCTTCTGAGAAAGAATGAATTGTACCCTTACCATGCACTACATGGAATTACTAACTCAATGTAGAATAAAGACCAAGGCCTACAAGCAAAAACTGATAGTGCCACAAGAAAACACAAGAAAAGTTTCCTGCCATCACATTCGGCAGTAATTTTGGGGAAATAACACCAAAGCATCAACACAAAAGTTAAACCGTTTTCATTTTGGGATGCAGTAACTGAAGGATCTTCAGCATGAGGAGGAGTGCCTCTGAAGAGAGAAGGAGCTGGTCCCTAGGTGCACAGTGCACATGCTCAGTACGACAAAGTCTTTTTTTTTTTTTTTTTGAGGCTGCCCTGGAACTACCTCTTGTAGACAAGGTTGGCCTTGAACTTACAGAAATCCACCTGCCTCTGCCTCCCGAGTACTGGGATTAAAGGTGTGTGCCACCAATGCCTTTAAAAGATGGAGGGGGGCAGTGTCACATATGTCTGTACTCCACTCTGGAAGTTGAGACAGGAGGATTGCTGAAGCCTAGGAGTTTGAGGCCAGTCTAGTTTCAGGAAAGCAGATATGCAGGTGCCAGATGACACAGAAGGAGCTCGGCGTCTTTGTCACTAAGCAGTGCAAGCCAAGCCCAGGGTGATGGCGTGCCTCACCCATCATGATGATGCTGTTTAAGAGAAGGAAAGACAAGCATTGACGAGGATGTGGGGACATAGGAACCTTTCCGCTCTCTTGGAAGGCAGGATGATGCCATCTTTATTAAAAAGGCATAATAGCCCAGCACTCAGAAGGCAGAGGCAGGTAGATCACTGAGTTCAAGGTCAGTTTGGTCTACATAGTGAGTTCCAGGACAGCCACAGCTTCATTGAAACCCTGTCTCAACCACCACCACCCCCCAAAAAGAAAGAAGAAATTAGGGGCTGGAGAGATGGCTCAGTGAAGAACACTGGATGCTCTTCCAGAGTACCTGGGTACAAT